AAGACAAAGATGTGACTTGATAGACAATTTATAACTGAATAATTTTCTAACTTACAATTTTGTTCACTTAGTAAATATTTTTGATACTTTGAACATTTTGTAACATTAGTTGCAGTTGTTTTTTTACATTGTACCTTTATTGTTTCTGAATTTATTCTGCAAAATTTCAAATTTTGGCTTAGCTTCTGGTCTGTGGAGGAGCAGTGTCTGCATTAGCTTCCACTTATCTTTAGCGTATCTTTATATTCTCCTTAATGTAGTCATTCCATTAAAAAGGGATCTGCCTTCTGATATTGCTCAGAGCTGAAGAATTGAAGCATGCAAGAAATGGTGCAATATGCTTGGGGGAGTTTATCAGCAACATAACGGCAGGGCTGCTAACACCTCAAGGCCAAATTAGAACAGACTTCAGGCTTGACGCTGCAATGAGACAGTAGCAGGAGGACAGAGCTCCCTCCCCTGGGCTGAATTCCAACCTGTTTGGGACATCCCAGGGGGTTAAAACCACCCTGTAGAAGTGGTGAAATAGGGGAGAAGTGATAATGGGGGATAATGGGGGTGCGGTTACCCCCATTTAATCCGGGAAACTCTTCAATCAACCAGCGGGTGGAAACAAGCAGCTGTATAGCTTACTTGCAAGTCATCGGCAGACGACAATGGAGAAGCGATAAATCAGCTAAACATCACTTTTACCACCTGGTGAGAAATATTGTTATAACTGTACTGCTTTATGACTATCCCTGGATGAGACAATCCCTATAACAGAAATAGCATCTCTCCTATCCCCACTACTTATACAGCAGTGGTGAATCTGGACAGAGGGAAGAGACGCAAAGAGACACAAAGAAAATAAAAAGGGCATTAATTAGACATTTAATTATACTTCAAAGAAGGAAGTTTGGCATTATTGTGCCATTAGAAACTTAATAAATCTTTCTCTTAAAATCATCATTAACTAAACAACTCTGGGGAGCTAGACTGGCTATGTTATGGCTACAGCTATTACAGCTATCTACAGCATTGGCAAAAAGCCCAAAACAATGACCTTGAACACTCTATGGCAGTTCTGACTTCCTTTTTTTCCTGAGGACTGAACTGAAGTATAGATAAATTAACCCTAGAAAGCCTAATCCTGCCATTGTGGAATTTTTAAACTGTATCCTGAGTTTTGAACTTGACTGGAACACAAGCCATGACAGAATTTATACTGGAATGGATTGCCTCTGGGTCTGGATTACAAAAGACACCAGGCCATGAATACAAACATCAAGTGAACTATTTTGTGAGCAAGAGTCCTTGAGCCTTCAAGAGGGGAAAACCCTTTATGTCTGAGAATGGATTCAGGTTTAACCCTAAAGATTCAATCTTTTGAAGTGGACCTATGGAAGCAAGTATTGATGGAATTGGACTGATTGCTTTAAGCAACTGGACAACTTTCACTTGGAATACAATTATTTGATATCTGGGACATAATGCTACAATAAGGAAAATTTTGGGATGAAACAAAATCTACCCTTCAAGCAATTTTAGAAATGGTGAAATCCCACTAGACAGAGGTAAAATTATTCAAGGAGCAGTTAAGGAAGGTATAGTCAACAGGATACAGGGAATAATGAACAACGAAATGAGAGTGGGGTGGATGGTGTATGCCAATCAAAGGAGGGGCTGGAGAAAACCAGAGGGGAAAATTTAGATCTAATTCTAAACCTGGAGCCAAGGAGAGTTTTGCTAAGGGAAGATAAGGAGAGAGAACAATCAGATTTAATTAAAATAGCCTGGAAGATCTATTGGAGATAGATTGAGTTCATAAAATGATCTCAAATGGTACACGGGATGGCAGAATTTTTAGAGAGATACAAATAAGAATTGGGAAAAGACAAACAAGAGAAGGAGTTACTTAGAAAGATGAAAAGGAAAATAATATTAAGGTGGCCTTTAACGTTGAAAGCCTGTATACACCTAACTTCTGGAATTGTAAGGGGACATATATATTAGAAAAGGGAAATAAACTGAAATAAGGGATCACTAATCAGGGTAAAGGCATAACACGGTGGTTCTTAAGGTAAACTGAAGCTAGACATAAAGAGGTAAAAACATTAACATATATTAGATATGATATTGATATAGACATGAAAGCAAATGTAGAGATAGAAATGGCTAAACAATTATATAAAGAAAATCTGTATAAAATGCTTTAGATAACATCTATTATGTGTAAGGAACTTATTTAGTTATTATGGGTATAAAATACAATGTTGGTCGGTTAAATTGCCTCAAAATTATACAGATTTGAAACCAGAATTGCTTGTATAAGGTATTTTATTAGAAGATTTTTGAGAACATTATATACTATGAGAGCAATATTATGATAGTAGCCAATATTGTACACTAAAATACACACATGAATGGTTTAAATGCTTAAAATATATGCAGTATAGATTTTGAAGGGACTACTAAGAAGACACCAAGATGCAAAAAAAAAATTATAATTATAAGCAACCCATGTAACACAATGTTTAACAAGCACGAACTGAATGTAGATATATTGAAAAACTAATAAAATGTTATATATATATTTAAAAGAACTATGTCGTGGCACAGTGAGTTATCCAATAGATATTTAGAAATTAAGCTGCCTGGAGTAGCCAGAGCTGCTTAAACTGGAGACAACATAGAAGGCAAGAGCTCCAAAGCTAAACAAAGAAACAAAGAGACCTCATTAGGGATTTGTAAAGACAGGTATGACCCAAGAACATAGTCATTACTAGAGCCCAGAAAACTGGTGCTGGACTCAACAGTGCTTCCAGTCAACGTAGTAAACGCCACAGAACAATAGTTGACTACGGTGTGCCTCTAGCTTTCGCTAGCCCTCAGAAGTATTCCAACGTTAAAAGCCAGAAGCCTTTAACATAATGGAATTTGCTTCAAGTATTCCATCTACCCTGGGCAATCAAGATTTGAATACGAATGCTAGTGACTTTCAATATTATGATGTGGTCGATGACTTTTTCTCTGGTTACTCAATAGACAATTGGTTGGTGGACCCAGATATCCAAGACAGAACCCCAATCTCAAAAAGGGCCCTCCCTGGAAATAATTTAAATCCACCAAGTAGAGATCTAAGAGGCATGTCTATGGGAGTTCTGACAGACAACTCTTTTGGGTCAAATAATGAATACATCAAGATTATCTACACTCAATTGCATGACCAGTGCTTTTTATCTGCAAAACCGAATCAAAAGATCTTTGACAAACTTCATACTCTTCACCAAGAAATATCAGATGAGAAAGCAATGCTCCAACTAATAGCCACCCTGATAAAAACAGGGATCCTGATAGCACCACATCCTAACCCAGCCGAAAAAACACACCAAGCCAGAACTGAGGCTGTCACAATAGAATCAAACAAGAACAACTGCTGCCTGTCTCAAAACAACAACCCAATATTTCATGAGGCACCTAGAAGACAAAAGCTGGCTGCAAATTCCGGACAGTTCTCAGAAACTCAAACTGAAACGTAAACCGACTGTTGCAACACAAGGGAAAAGACTGGGGATTTTAATTCAACCTTGTCAATTGCAGATCTTGTAGTAACTGATAAGTGGGGAGTCATCACTTCAGATGTCAATGGGCCACATTTCTTATCTCCAGTTCCTACAAATGGCAGCAGCATATTCCTAAACAATCCCACAATACTCAGGATCCAGGAACAGAGAATCTGCAAACTCTAGAGCCACCATCAAACTCTGTAAGTCAAATAACCATAGACAAGTGGGCTTTAAAAAGGGGGGAAAACCCAAGGAAAAACTAGCATGGATATAACATGAGATATTCTCGTAGAATTATAGAATCATAAAAATTTGAAGTTGGAAAAGGCCTATAAGGCTGTCAAGTCCAACCCCCTGCTCAATGGAGGAATACAATCAAAGTGTATCTGCCAGGTGATTATCTAAGTTTTTCTGGAATGCCTCCAGTGCCGGAGCACTCACAAACTCCCGAGACAACTGGTTCCACTGTTGTACTGCTCTAACAGTTAGGACGTTTTTCCTGATCTGGCTTCCATTAACTTGAGCCCATTGTTGCATATCTTGCACTCTGGGATGATTGAGAACAGATCTTGCCGTCCTCTGTATGACAGCCTTTCAAATA